TTTGGGATGAGAAATTATTGATAATGCTTTAGATGAATATTTAGCTCATCATTGTAATACAATTCGAGTGACATTAAAAACCGACGGAGCAATGGTGGTTGAAGATAATGGCCGCGGAATTCCCGTGGGCATTCACCCTAAAACCGGACTGTCAACCATTGAAACGGTTTATACATATTTGCATGCGGGAGGAAAATTCAGTTCTCAAACCTATCAAGTATCTGGAGGATTGCATGGAGTCGGCTCGACCGTCGTAAATGCGATGTCCGAATATCTCAAAGTGGAAGTCTTTCGAAACGGAAATATTTATACATTAGAGTTTAAAAATGGTAAAAAAATTACGCCATCAGTACAAATCGCCCCCAACCCTCAACCCAAAAAAACCGGAACACGAATTGAATTTCGTCCTAATTTAAAATTATTTGACGATTATTATGAATTTAAAACAGAACGCGTCTTAAAAAGATTAGAAGAAACCGCATTAATTAACGACAAAGTTAAAATTATTTTTACTGATGAACGTGCGAGCATTCAAAAAACTCTCTATTATAAAAAAGGAATTCAAGATTATTTAAAAAAACTCGTCAATAAAATAACCCAAACGGAAAATCAGCACGAGACTCCCATTTTTGATTTAGTTACTTTGGACAAAATAACCGTTAAATTTATTTTTCGTTATACCAATGCCTTAGATCCAACTCTTTTATCTTTTTGCAACAATATTCGTACTATTGAAGGCGGCAGTCATGAAAAAGGGTTTCGTTTGGCGATCGGTCAAACGAGCAAGCGACTGATGAAAAAATTTAAATACTATGACGAAAAAAAAGACAGCATTGAAAGTAAAGATGGAATGGCTGGTGTTGTTGGCATTTTAGTTGTTTTGCATCCAGATCCGAAATTTACCGGACAAACTAAAACCAAATTAGTAAATGCCGAAACAAGTTCCATTGTTTATCGAGCAGTGTCTAAAACATGAGAAAAGTTTTTATTAGAAAATCCACAAGAACGAGAACTCGTTTTTCGTAAAATTTTACACTCATCCCGTTTAAGAAAAGAAATTGCTAAAAAAATACGAGAAGTTAAAGATAAAAATAAATATTTAACAAACGCGACTTTGCCCGGAAAATTAGCGGACTGTGCTTCTCGCAATAGTGCTCAAAGCGAACTCTATATAGTAGAAGGAGATTCTGCCGGCGGAAGCGCTAAATTAGGCCGAGATCGGCATTTTCAAGCCATTTTACCGTTAAAAGGCAAAATTATTAATTCAGAAAAAGCCACCACGCAAAAACTTTTAGCAAATCAAGAAGTGTCGGATTTAATTATTTCCTTAGGATTAAAAAACTCGGATGTAAAATCAATAAACGATATTTTAGATACAAATAATTCAATTGAGACTCAAAAACAAAATTCCATCACTCAACTCGAAACTTTAAAAAACAAATTACGTTATCACAAAATTATTATTATGACTGATGCCGATGTGGACGGATCGCACATTGCAGTTTTGTTATTAACCTTTTTATATCGCTGAATTCCTGGGTTAATTGAAAATAAATTTGTATATTTAGCACAACCCCCATTGTTTAAATTAACGATAGGCAAACGCAAAAAATATTTATATAGCGAATCCGAGTTGGCGAAAGAAGTCGCGAATATACAAACAAAATATAGCATTCAAAGATATAAAGGGTTGGGAGAAATGAACCCCGGACAATTATGAGAAACCACAATGAATCCAGAAAATCGTACTTTAAAATTAATTACGATTGAAGATGCAAAACAAGCAAACGACACAATTACATTGTTAATGGGCAAGGAAGTCGAAGGACGAAAAGAGTTTATTGTCAAAAATGCTAAATTTGCAGCCAATATTGATATTTAAATGATGAATAATAAAAACAATCTTCTTGACACGAACAATATTTTATCCATTCCTTTAAATCATGAAGTAAAAGCCAAATTTTTGAGTTATGCAATGTCGGTTATTATTTCTCGTGCCCTACCCAATGTGGATGACGGATTAAAACCGGTTCATCGGCGAATTTTATATGCCATGTATCAATTACGTGTAGTTGCCGAAAAACCACATAAAAAATCCGCCCGAATTGTGGGAGAAGTAATTGGTAAATTTCATCCTCACGGAGATGCGGCGGTTTATGAAGCGATGACGAAAATGATTCAGGATTTTGCTACCAATCATCCCTTGATTGACGGACATGGAAATTTTGGTTCGGTGGACGGAGACTCGCCCGCGGCAATGCGTTATACGGAAGTACGATTACATAAATTAATTCAGGAATCATTAAGTGATTTGCCTTATAATACCGTCGATTTTGTGCCTAATTATGATGAAAGTGAAAAAGAACCGAGTGTTTTACCGGGAATTGTTCCCAATTTATTATTAAATGGATCTACTGGAATTGCTGTCGGAATGGCGACCTCCATTCCTCCACATAATTTAAAAGAAATTGTCAATAGTATTATTGCACAAATTGATAATCCGCAAATTACTGTGCGCGAACTGGTAGAACAAAAATTCTTAAAAGGTCCTGATTTTCCGACAGCAGGATTTTTAGTGAACAATCAAGAACAAATTATTCAAATTTTAGAAACGGGAAGAGGTTCATACAAACTTCGCGCCAAACACAAAATCGAAACCGATGAAAACGATCATACACAAATTATTATTGAAGAAATACCCTATCAAGTAAACAAAAGCCGGCTCATTAAAAACATTGTTGAACTCATCAAAAAAAAAGAAATAAACATGATTCATGATTTGCGAGACGAATCCAATCGTTTGGGGATTCGGGTTGTTATTTCTCTCAATAAAGGTGCACAAACCGATTTAGTATTAAAAAAATTATTTAAGCATACGGATTTACAAACTACTTTTTCCGTCAACATGTTGGCTTTGCATGACAAACAACCCGAGCTCATGAATTGAACAACGGTGATTCGATATTATATTGATCACCAAATTAATGTAATTTATCGTAAAACTACTTTTTTGCTCAAACAAGACCAACAAAAAATTGAATTACTTTTAGGAATTGCTCAAGCCTTAAAACAAATTGACACCGTTATTGTTTTTCTGAAAAAAACATCTAATCCATCGGCTGCCTTATTGGGATTACAAAAATTATTATCGGTAAATGAGCGTCAAGCCAAGGCGATTCTAGAAATGCGCTTACAACGTTTAACCGCATTGGAGCAAAACAAAGTTTTTGATGAAATTCAAGTTTTGAAAAAACAAATTTTAAATTATGAAAACATTTTAGCTCAACCCGCAAAACAAAAAAACATTTTAAAAGAAAAGCTCTTAAATTTACAAAATAAATATGCTCAACCTCGAAAAACTCAAATTATCGCTCAAGATGAATATGAGAATATAAACGATGAAGATTTAATTGTTCACGAAACAGTTTTAATTTGTTTAACTAAAAATAATTATTTAAAACGCGTGAGTTTTGATTTGTTTCGTCGGCAAAAACGAGGGGGAGTCGGAGTAAAAGGTATGACGTTAAATGAAAATGACGAAGTAACAGAAGTATTATTGGCCGATACTCACGATAATTTATTATTTTTTACCAATTATGGTAAAGTTTATCAATTAAAAGCTTACAAAGTTCCCGATTTAGGAAGAACTGCCAAAGGGACTCCGGCTCAAAATCTCATCGGCATTGAATCCGGCAAAGAATTTGTGCGCACGATTATTCGCGGTAAAAAATCAAATATTCGCGATGAAGGGTATTTATTTTTTGTGACGCAAAAAGGGCTCATCAAAAAAACTCACTTAACACATTTTGATTCAATCAATAAAAACGGCAAAAAAGCTATTAAATTAAGAGCCAACGACAACTTATCTTTTGTCTTTCACTTAAATGAACAAGCGGAGCTCTTAATTAGTAAGAATGACAATAAAATTGTGCGTTTTTCCACGACAAATGTTCCCGAATACGGCCGCAATTCGCAAGGTGTAATTGCAACTCGTTTTGTCAATCCTAAACTAAATCATGTAATTGGAGCCAGTTATGCTTTATCAGGACACAATATTTTATCTTTAACCAGTGACGGAAAAGGCAAAATTACAGATCCTAAAACTTATCGAGAAACAAAACGCGGCGCTAAAGGAGTTAATGCCACGCAAAGTCAAAAGAAAAACAAAAAACTTAAACTAGTTGCGAGTTTATCCATTCGAGGAGATGAAAATTTATTAATTGCTCGTTCTAACGGCAAATTTATTATTTCGCCTTTGAAAGGAGTTCGTAAAACCAAAAGTCGCACCGCTTCGGGAGTTAGATTAGTTCGTTTAGAACCGGGCATAACTATTACCGCGGCGGCTGTTTTGCCCGATCAACTCAAATAATAGTATTGTGATTTCAATTCAAAAACTTTTAACTCTTTCAAAAGATGAACGAAACAGATTAAATGCCCGCGGAGAAGATTATACTAATTCAATTACAACAATTCGGGCATTACAAAGCAAATACCAAAACTTATTGTTGCAGATTGAACAAAAATCTCATTGAGTGAATGTAAAAAGCAAACAAACTGCTCAAAACACATCTAATTGATCCGAACACTTAGAGAAACTCAAAACAGCCGCTCAATGATTAAAGCACGAACGACTTCGATTAAAAAAACTTCAAAATGAATTACATCAGAAATTATTATATATTCCCAACATACCTCATCATTCAACTCCGTTAGGTCTCACAGAAAAAGATAATAAAATAATTTTTGTTTCTTCTCATAAATTAACACAATCTTCAAAATCTCATTGAGAAATAGCCAATCAATTTCAATGAGTGGATTTTCAACAAACAGCTAAAATTGTAGGTACACGTTTTGTTACATACACTCGTGAGGGAGCTCGAATTACTCGTCAAATTATGAATTTATGTTTGGATTTTCATTTGCAAAATCAGTACTGAGAAATTCGTTCTCCTCATTTAATTCAAGAAAAGGCTCTTTTTGGTACCGGTCAACTGCCGAAAATGGCAAACGATTGTTATTCTTCTTTTCACAATCAACTCTATTTGTTACCAACCAGCGAAGTATCTCTCGTGAATTTTTATGCCAATCAAGTTATTCAAAAATCTTTATTACCGATTAAATTAACCGCCTTTTCTCATTGTTTTCGCCGTGAAGCCGGCGCCGCTGGACGAGACAATCGAGGACTGGTACGTTTACATGAATTTCAAAAAGTGGAAATTGTGCGTTTAGTTCAAGCGAAAAATTCATATGAGCATTTAGAAGAAATGAAAAAAGAAATTTGTCAGTTGTTAGAATTATTTGAAATTCCTTATCGGGTAGTATTATTATCCACTGGAGAATTAGGAACAGCGGCAAGTAAAACATATGATATAGAAGTTTGAATGCCTTTCGCTCAAAAATATTTAGAAATTGCTTCGCTATCCAATACGGAAGATTATCAAACAAACTTTCTCAAAATTAAAAGCATCAATCAACAGAAAAAAAGATGTTTGTTGCATGCTTTGAATGGGTCCGGACTGGCTATTGATCGTTTGTTTGCGGCTTTATTAGAAAACCATTATGACGAAAAAACGAATAAAGTCACTTTTTCTCAAACACTAAGCGATTATTTAAAGATTCAATCCTCATTTTTGGTAAAACACAATTAAAATAATGATAAAGAATGTCAGTTTCCCGTCATCAAAGTTTTTATCGTAAATATCGTCCTCGAAAATTTAGCGAAATTATCGGGCAAAGCATTATTACCAATATTTTACTTAAACAGATTTCGATTCGTAAAATGCATTATGCCTATTTATTTAGTGGCATTCATGGCATCGGGAAAACTTCCATTGCTCGTATTTTTGCTCGGGCTGTGAACTGTAAAAATAATTTATTGGGAGAGCCGTGCGAAAAATGTCTTATTTGTGTTCGTTCTCAAGATAATTTTGCGGATATTATTGAAATTGATGCGGCTTCCAATAACGGAGTAGAACAAATTCGTGCTCTGCGAGAAAAAGCTCTGATTGCACCAACTCTGGCCGAGTATAAGGTTTATATCGTGGATGAAGTGCATATGCTTTCAAAGAGTGCCTACAATGCTTTTTTGAAATTATTAGAAGAACCACCACGACACGTTATATTTATTTTAGCCACAACGGAACAATATAAAATTCCGCAAACAATTTTATCTCGTTGTCAAATTTTTGCTTTTCAACCATTAAAGAATTTGGAATTGGCTCAAATGTTAAAAACAATAGCAAAAAAAGAAGGAGTCAATATTAGCGAATTAGGAGTATTGGAAATTATTCATCACGCCGGGGGTTCGGTTCGTGATGCTTTGAACATCTTAGAACAAATGATGTTTTTACAGCAAAAAGAAACTTTATCGGATGTTGATGTTCGTGCATCATTGGGAAAAGTGAATGAAACCATGCGTTTAAATTTTTTAGATAATTTAATTCATCAAAAAACAAGTGAAGTTTTTAGGCAAATTGAAAATTGAAACAAAAAAGGGATTAACTTTGAACATTTAACCAGAGATTTAATACGAGAAATACAACAAATATTATTTTATAAATATCAAAATGTTGCCGTGGACAAATATCAATTTGTGAATTCTGTGAGTGCTTCCGTTTTGACGGATTTAATGGAAATTTTTTTACAAAAAACACGATTTTTTTATGCTGATTTAGCTCAACACATTGTGTTTCGGGCGGTTATTTTGTCGGCCTTGAGACGATTTTATAAAAAACAAGAGTTATTTTCATTCACGGTCAAAGATGATTATGCTAAAACGGTAAAAGAAGTTCATCAACAATCAATATCGCAAAGCAAAATTAATTTTCAGCAAGGGTTAGATATTTTATTTCACCAAAACAAAAGTTTCACCGTGAATGTAAAAAATAAATGAAAAAATATTGATAGTTTTTTGACACAAGATAAATACGCCAACTATGCTCAGCATATCATGCAAACAAGAGTAGTTTGTGCATCGAATAAAGCCATTTTGATTTGTGCCAACACGAATACATTTCGAGATCAAATTAATTTATGAAGTTCGGAACCAAATTTTTTAAAATTCATTGAAGCATTATTAGGATCACCCTTCAAAATAGCGGCCGTTAGTGGCGAAGAATTGGAAGTGTTGCGAATTGAATACGATAAAAAAAGAAAAAACAAAACTTAATTATGTCAAAAAAACAAAAACATTTTTTTTTCGTTTTTGAAGGAGTAGACGGAGTTGGAAAAAGCTCGCTCATCCAAAAACTCCAACAAAAGTTTCAAAAACATTATCCTCAAATTGCTGTTTTATCCACCTCCGAACCATTTCAAGAAGTTCAAGGTGTAGATTTACGCAAAGCAATTTTGCAAGCCAATAAAGCCATTGAACCAATGTTGGAATTATTGTTTTTTTTATTGGATCGCAAACTACATTTAAATCAGTTAAAAAATTGAGAAAAACAGCATTCTCAACAAACTACCGTTATTTTATGTGATCGATATTTTTATTCGTCTTTTGTTTATCAAGGATTTTTAAGAGGACTGTCTTTAGAAACAATTTATACTTTACATAAAAAAATAGATATTTTTACTCTACCGGATTTAAGTTTTTTTTTAGTGCCGCCTTCAACTGAAGTCTTAAAAAACAGAATGAAAAAAAAGACTTCCCATGAGTTTAATGAATTTGATAAACGTGTTGCTCCACATTTGCCCCTCATAATTCTTTACTATTTAGATGTAGCAACATATTTTCAACAAAAGCGATTTAATCACCCCATTAAAATTTTAAAAGCGGTCGAAACATCAGCATTAATCAATCAGGTTTGAATGCAAATTAAAGCAAAAATGCAGTTAAATGACTAAGCAACAATTAAAACAACATTTTCGTTATTTGAAACAAAACAATCAACTACCCAATAATTTTTTATTACTGGGTTCGTCAATGTATTTATTAAATACAGCGGAACATATTATTGCGGATTTAAATTGCTTGCATCATAATGCGATTGGTTGTTCATGTCGGACTTGTACGAAATTACAAAAATTTCGCGATGAATTTGTTCTTTATCTTCAACCCGTTCAAGCGAGTATCAATTCCGAACAGATTCGAACATTACAGGAATGATCTTTGTATTTAAATAAATTTCAATCCGTGAAATATTTTATTGTTCAAAACGCTGACTGCCTAACGAAAACGGCGGCAAATCAATTATTAAAATTTTTAGAATCATCGCCGTCAAAAATAATTGGTATTTTTTTGGCCACTTCGCAAAAAGGCATTCTCAAAACGTTATTATCACGTTTACAGATATTTACTTTCAATGAGGCAAAATTAGTTGATAAAAATTTATTGAATTTATCGGCTCCGAATCAAACCATAATAAAAGATGTTCATTCATCACTGGTTTTGCATTCTCATTTTATCTCCCAAATTTTTACTCCCTTGCTTCAACATTGCGACTATTTAATTAGTCGCATACGGCAACAAAAAGTTTTGTCGTTGCTTGTTCAAAAAGACTGAAATGAGAATTTCATAATTGAGCATTTTTGATTATTTCTAAAAATTTTATCGAGCAAAATTCAAAATATAATTTTTAACACAACTCCAAACTCTAAAATTTTATGTAGAAAACAAGACTGAATTTTGGCACAAGTGTTTTATTTTATTGTTAAAATGAGTAGTGAAAATCAGTTTTTATTTTTGAAAACTAAAAATTATTTTCGCCCGAAACTTGCCTATTTGAATTTTTTATGTAAATTGGAACGTTGAACTCAAAATATTTAGAAATGGTTTTGTTTTCATTTCTGATTAAAAAGCATTAAAATAAAAAAGAATGGATAAAAAATTTTATTTATTTTAGAATTATTTTATGAATCCAAAAAAAAGAAAAACTAGTGTTTGGACGATTGTTTTTATTGTTATTGCCTTATTATCTATTGGATTTTTGCTTTACAATTACTTTTTTTCCGCCAGTCAATCCTTATCGCTGGATGCTTGAATAAGCAAATTACCAACAACTCTAAACAACGCCAAGATTAATATTTATGTGCCCACATCAAGTGTTCGCGGAGTTTGAGCCACATATACTAATATGAATGGCGCATCTTTTGCTACTTTTTATGGGGGCACTTTTAGCGAATTTGCCGAGGCTTTGCCGAAGACACTCAATATTAATTCACTTTCTCATCAGTCCGCTTTGCCGACCAATCCCCTTTCTTATTTGTTTTCTCTGATTGGTGTTTTATTTCCTTTGCTATTTTTAGGACTTATGGCCTGAATTTATTTACCAATGATGAGAGGGGGAAAAGGTCGTTTTGGAGCTATGGGCGGAGAGTTTTCCGGAACTCGATTAGTGCGTTCAAAAATTCGATTTACAGATGTAGCGGGAATTGCCGAAGAAAAAAAAGAACTTTTAGAAGTTGTAGATTTTTTAAAATATTCACAAAAATATTTAAAAATGGGAGCACGAATTCCAAAAGGATTGTTATTGTATGGTCCGCCAGGAACAGGAAAAACCTTATTAGCCAAAGCTGTTTCCGGAGAAGCGGCGGTACCATTTTTTTCAGTAGCGGGTTCCGAATTTGAAGAAGTGTTTGTAGGAATGGGAGCCTCTCGAGTTCGCGAAATGTTTAAAAAAGCTAAGGAAAAAGCTCCCTGTATTATTTTTATTGATGAAATTGATTCTCTCGGCGGAAATCGTTCGCGAATTGGAGCGGGAGTTAAAGATCAAACTTTAAATCAGTTTTTGTCGGAAATGGATGGATTTGAAACGAATGAAGGAGTAATTGTAATTGCCGCAACCAATCGCGCCGATGTTTTAGATCCTGCCCTATTGCGCTCCGGACGATTTGATCGTAAAATTCAAATCAATTTACCGGATGTAAAAGAACGAGAAGCAATTTTAAAAATTCACTCGCGAAACAAAAAAATAGCTAAAAACATTTCTTTTAAGCAAATTGCCGAGCGAACACCCGGATTTAGTGGGGCTCAATTGGAAAACTCATTAAATGAAGCCGCTCTTTATGCGGTTCGACATAATAAAACGATTATTGAATCCAAAGATTTGGATGAGGGAATTGATCGTGTTATTGGTGGACCTTCCAAAAATCAACGAGTCATTAATGAAAAAACTCGTTTGATTGTGGCTTTACACGAAGCCGGTCATGCTATGATTGGACTCATTTTGGGAGATGCGATGCAAGTTCAAAAAATTACTATTATTCCTCGTGGTTCCGCCGGCGGATATACAATTACCACACCCAAAGACGAAACCTTGATTAACTCTAAAGAAGCGCTTTATCATCGCATTACCGGATTATTAGGTGGACGTGCGGCGGAAGAAACTAAATTAGGCACATGAGGAATTACCACCGGAGGTCATGATGATTTTTCCAAAGCAACTCAATTGGCCGTGCGTATGGTGGAAGAATTTGGAATGTCGGATTTTGGAGTACGCTTTTCTCCCTCACAAGCTCAAAGATTTATGGCGATTGGAAATATTTCCGAAGAGAAAAAAGCCGAACAAGATAAGGAAATCAACAATATTTTAGAATATTGCTATACTTGAGCAAAAAAAATAATTGTCGAACATTTGAATTTACTTCATCTGTTGGCAGAAGCTTTATTAATTTTAGAAACCATCAACGCCGAACAAATTGAATATATTTACAAAAATAATAAATTACCGCAAATAGCTCTTCAAAAAAAGGAAAAATATCCCGATAAAAAATATTTAGATTTGAGCTTAATTCAAAAAAAGAATAAACCGGATAAATAAAATTCGTGATGATCACGTATTCCAAAAAATTATTTTTTCGTTTCACTGGTTTATTTTTTAGTTTTTTTTTGATTCTCTTGCTCTGTTTGATTTTGTTTTGATTTTATGAAATCAATATGGTTCTATTAATCATACTACCGATTGTTATTATTGGTATTTATAGCGGCTTAGCCTATTATTTTATTTATCTTTACCGCAAAGAACAACACCTATTACCTAAAACTGAAATCGACTTACAATTTTTAGCGAATTTAGTTAACAGTCATAATGATCTTCTTTTAGTTTATAACGATGAATTCAATATTATTTGAACTAATAATCAAAGTAAACTACGTCAACTGTTAAATTTAAAAAAATCCAAAAGTGTTTATGGAACGGCTTTGAAAGATTTATTACCATCAGCATTTATGCATAATTTTCCCAATAATGCCGCTCAACAAAAATTTATTTGTTTGAATAGAGAAAAAAAGGGTGAGTACTTTTTAGTTACTCTACTAAAAAAATATTCTCTTTTAATTTTAAAACCGCACAATAAGATTTGAGAATTAAAATCTTTTATTGAAAATCAACGACCGGTCTTTTTGGTACTGGAATTGGATGAAAATTATTTAGATGACAAGAATAAATCAAAAGACAGTAAGAAATTTTTAGCAATTGATGCCTATGTACAACTTGCCATCACCGACTTTCTTCATGATCGAGAAGGTATTTTATTAGAAAGTGATGAAAAAGAATATCGAATTTTGTTGCCTTATAAATATTTGAAAGAAAGCGTAGAAGATAAATTTACTTTTATTGACGATTTAAAGCAAAATATCAAACAAAAATATAAAATTGAGGTTACTTTTTCCGGTGGGGCTTTTTTGCCGAAAGATACTAATACTCAAACCGAAGAACTATTAAATATTGACAGTTTCCAGTTGGACAATTTATATATTAAGTCAATAGAAGCGAAACAAAAAGCAAAAACTCGAGGTGGCGATCAAATTTTAGTAGTGAAATTTGATGATCGCATTGAAGTGTTTGGTGAACGACGTCAAATTAAAACGGATATTTTGAATTTGACAAAAAAATACAGTGTTTTTGAGTCAACAATTAAACCCTATAAAAATATTTTAATTATCGGACACAACAAGCCCGATTATGATGCTATAGCTTCGGGCTTAGGTGTAAAAATTTGAGTGGAAAATAAATTCACAAATAAAAATGTGACTTTGATAATGCCGACGATTGGGGAGGTGTTGAAACAAAATGTTATTGAATTAATTGAACAAGAAAATTATGAACGTCATATTACGGAATCTTTTGATTTTAATCAGTGAAAAAAAAGCTTAGGCAAAAAGTTAATTATTATTGTTGATACAAATGAACCAGAATATGTTGATTTTTGTGTTGAGGAGATCGCACAATTTGATAAAGTTATTTTTGATCACCATACTCCTCTCTATAAATTTAATAATGTAGTCCTTGATTGTATTGACAGCACTGCCAGTTCCGCCTCCGAAATAATTTTAGGACTATACGATTGAACCGAAAGACCACAGCCGCCTTCGTCTAAGTTTTCTCCCTGCTTTTTATTTAAAATTTTACTTTTTGGAGTTTTGGCGGATACGAATAATCTGCAAAATAATCTCGGTCCCAATAGTTTATCTATTTTCAATAACGCTAGCAAAGAGAAAGATATTCAAGTACAGGATTTAATCAATAAATTTAAAAAATTTAAACAAATAGTTACAAATGGTTCAGGAAACAAAAATAGGAAATTTCAAGTTACTTCATTTGCGAATGATACTATCGTATTATTTGATACTGATAAAAATGCGGGACAACACGAGACCGCGATTGATTTAGAGAAATATTTAGGCAATAATTTTGCTAACACTGCCATTTTAGTTCGCGGTGATGGGAACAAAATAGGAAAAGTATTTGTTTCAATTCGCAGTACTCCTAAAGGCATTAATGCGGCTGTAATTGCGGAAAAACTCGGAGGCGGCGGAGATTATCAAAGAGCTGCCGCTCAACTGACTAACTCCCAGGCAGACATTGTTTTAGAACAGGTAAAAAAAATTGTAAAAGATATACAAAGTAAAAAATAGTTAAAATAAATTTATGAATAAAAATCAAACATCATTTGGTCAATTAGGAGAAATTGAAAATAAATTGTTGGCTATGCTGTTTCGCTCGGAACGTGTTCGTGATCAGTTTGCTTTTGCACTTCAACCCAACGATTTTATTGAGGAAAAAAACGGGTTAATTCTAACTCAAATTCAACATTTGCTTCAACAACGTAGAAAAACTTTCAATTTGGATATTTTTATTCATTATTTAGAAACTAAAAAAATGTTAAAAAAAGTAGGTGGATTAGATTATATTCATAAATTAATTAGTGCTTATGTTTCCGATGAATATGCTGCAAAATATTTCAAATTAGTTTTAGATGAAGCGACTCGTCGTAAATTATTAAGCGATTTAAATCGTTTACAAACCTTTATCTCTTCCTGTACCGATGGAGAAAAAATGATTCAAGAATTTTATAAAAATATCACCGAATGAGAAACTTTTTACGACCGTTTAAGCAAAAAATTCATCTCTTTGTCTCATTTAATTCAAATCGAAAGTCAATCAAGCGCCCTCTGACAAACTAAAATAATTGAAAGATCGACCGGATTTGCAAATTTAGACGATAAAATCGGAGGATTTCAAAAAGGAGAACTGATTATTTTAGCCGGCCGTCCCTCAATGGGCAAAACTGCTTTGGCGCTCAACATGTCTCTTTATAATTTACAAACTTCGCAACAACCTTTTCGAGATACAATTATTTTTTCATTAGAAATGTCTCCCCAACAATTAGTGAAACGAATTTTAAAAGCTCATGATCAAATTATTTTGAATAAAAACGAACAATCCACCAACACTTCAATTGACGAATTTATTGAAAAATTAAAAAGCATGAATATCTTTATTGATAATTCGACTTCAATTGATGTTTTACAAATTCAGGCCAAGTTAAATGAATGACAAAAAAAACGACCGATTGGTTTAGTGGTTATTGATTATTTACAGTTGTTAAAACCTCTAAAAAAAAATAAATATGAAAATCGTAATTTAGAAGTATCTCAATGAACCCGGCAATTAAAAATTATGGCTCGAGATTTAAATATTCCGGTTTTGTGTCTTTCTCAATTATCCCGAAACGTTGAAAGACGAGAAGAAAAACGACCCCTTCTTTCGGATTTGAGAGATTCGGGGAGCATTGAGCAAGATGCCGATTTGGTTATGTTTTTATATCGCGAACTATATTACAATAAAAAAAATGAAGAAGGGCAAAATACCAATAGTCTAGTGCAAGAACCGCATGATGCCGAAATTATTATTGCTAAAAATCGAAATGGACCAATTGGCTCTGTGAATGTTTTGTTTGTACCTAAAAAAGTTTCCTTTTTTCAAAATTAATTTTTATGAATACATTTATTAAAAAAGTTGTGCTTTTTCCCATTTTGATGGTTTTTATGTTTTTCTCTACTTTATTTCTTTCGGGATGTTTTTGCGGAGTTCAGGGAGACAAAATAAGTGAAGTTAGATTTGACTATGCAGCGGGAATCAATATTGAACATAAAGCCAAATTTGCCGGATTAAATGCGCAAAAAGTCTTATTAAAGCAAATCGGACTCTTTTTTTTAGGTTCGGTAGAAAATGAAGAATTATTTCAAACTCGTATACGAGATGATTATCAGCATGATACAGAAGCATTTTTAGAGGATTTTTCGAATAAAAAAAGTCGATTTACAAAACTATTAATGCCCATTGAAAATTTGAATCGCACTTTTACAATATCTACGCCCGCTACCGCCAGTGCAGAATCAACCAGTGAAACCTTTTACATTCCCAATACATGAAATTACTCCCAAACATCATCATCCAATGTCGTTAACAGAGTAATTACCATAAATACTTTACAAGTTATTTTAGAATTAGGAATTAGTGATACAATTGGAGAAATAGCAACACCGTCGAAATGACAAATAGAGATTAATTTAACCAATGTGACGGCAAGATTAAATGATAAAAACATTTTAGATGTAATTGTTTTTCAAATCGGCGAGACAGAAAGCACCTACCGCATCACCAATATAATCAATATCGCTGACACAACTCCGTCTACGCCTTAGTTTATTTATTATTTTCTTGATAATGAACAAGTTGAATGAATGAATTAAACAAGAAATAAAACAAGTGTATTTTCAAAAGCTGAAAAAAAAAGTAAATTCGGACTATAAAAAATACACAGTTTATCCGAAAAAAAAACAAATTTTTCAAGCTTTTAATTTGACAAAACATTGTCATTTAAAGGTTGTTATTTTAGGTCAAGATCCATATCATCAGCCGGAACAAGCAAACGGACTCGCTTTTTCTGTTCATTCGCATATACCTTTGCCTTGCAGTTTACAAAATATTTTTAAAGAACTCAAACATAGTTATCCTCATATAGTTTTAAAGAACGGTGATTTAAGTTCATGAGCACGTCAGGGAGTTTTGTTACTCAATACTGCCTTGACGGTTATTCGAAATAAACCCAATTCTCATCAAACAATCGGATGAACAATGTTTAATGAAAGAGTAATTCAGGCCATTAGCAAACTGGAACCATTTGTAATTTTTGTTCTTCTGGGAAACGAAGCTCGAAACAAAAAACATTTTATTGATAGTAAAAAACATAAAATTTTAGAAACTAGTCATCCTTCTCCATTTAGCGCTCACTTGGGGTTTTTAGGATCCAATATATTTCTGAAAATTAATGAAATATTAAAAAATCATCATCAATCAATTATTAATTGAGAAATAAAATAAAAAAAAATTATAAAATTGTATAAATGATAAATTGATTTTTTTATGGTTCTATTATCTTTTTCGGGAGTTTATTTTTTTTGTATTTTGTTTATTTCGCGGGAACAAAAAAATATCTTGAAATGCGCTCTCTTTCTCGTCGACAGAGAAATTTAAAAGTTGTTTATATCGCTTTGTTTGCTGCTTTGAGTGTGACCGTTTTATTAATTTTAAATAGTACCTTACCCTTAGCCGTTATTCCTTATGTACGAGTCGCCTTTGAAGGAGTGCTTATTAAAATTACGGGATTTGTGTTTGGTCCGATTATGGGATTGTTAAGCGCATTGGTTACGGAAATTGGCACTTTAATGTTTATTCCTTCTTATTTTCACTACAATTACTTGATCGCCTTAATGTGTTTTGGGTTTTTTGCGGGATTGGTGAAAGAATTCAAAACTTTTTTTCAAAATCGTTACATTCATTTATCGGCGATTAAATTAGCATTAATTGTTTTTTTTAGTTTTTCTATGTTATTTATTCTGACCAACACCAGCGATAAGTTTATTGATTTTGATGTTAATTTATGAAGTTCTGTTCAAAGTCGCTTTAGTTCTCTCTCTAATGTAAGTCCATTGAGACACTTTTTCTTTTTTGTTTGTCTTTTCAGTTTTTTATTTATTTTTGCTTGTGTCATATTTTTTTTCATTATTTTAAAAAGAAAAAAATCCCCCTTTTGAGTCAAAAATATTGACAAAATTAACAACTTAATTCCGATTTTAATGTTAAATGTCTATGCCGAATATCTCATCGCGGTTTTTATTACAACGCAAGCCAATTTAACTGTGTTTAATGAATATTCGTCGAGTTCTTTTCGTTTGTTGTTTAATGGAGCTCTCTCCATCGCTCCGTTTAAAATTATTACTAACACAGCCATTATTTTCACAGTTTGAAGTGTTATTTCATATTATTCAAAAGGCACAAAAAAAGAATCCCTTATTTAGTCAACATGAACAAAAAACAACTGATAGTCAAATTATGAGATTCTCGACAAAATCGATATGTGCATTTAAATCCGTTTGAATCAATTAATATTTATTTATGCGGACCAACGGTTTATGGTGATTTACACATTGGCAACTTAAGAAATGTTATCTTATTTGATGCTTTGTGTAAATATTTACAAGAATTAAAATATTCGGTAAATTATATTCAAAATATTACCGATATTGATGACAAAATTATTTTACAAGCTCAAACCAAAAAAACATCAGAACAAAAAATATCGCAACACTATTTAAGCAAATATTTACAAATTTTTGATCAATTTCAGCTGGTAAAACCTCGTCTGGTAAAAGTAAGCACTCAAATTCCATCAATCATTGAATTTATTGAAAAGTTAAAAAAACAAGGATTCGCCTATGAAAATAAAAGTGGAGTATATTTTGATGTTAATCAGTTAGGTTCAGAGTATGGACAATTTAGAAAATTCGTGAAAGTTCATTCCGCAACTAATTCCAAAACTGAATTAGATAAAAAAAATCAAGAAGATTTTGCTTTGTGAAAAAAGAAAACAAATGGTATAACATGATCATCGCCGTGAGGTGAAGGACGACCTGGTTGACATACCGAGTGTGCTTATCTTGTCACGGCCTATTTTCAAAAATCTTTAACGATTCATGGAGGCGGGCGTGATTTAATGTTTCCCCATCATGAAAATGAACGGGCCCTATTTTGAGCTCTAAATCAAAAAGAAATTACTCGTATTTGAATGCATAATGGATTTGTTAATTTTGAAATTGATAAACTTAGCAAATCCAATTTGAAATCTGAGTTTTTTTTATGAAAAAATTGAATTCAAAATTTCTCTTATAATTCAACAAAATTATGAATGTTTTTCACTCATTATCGAAAAGATATTACTTACAATGAAAAACATTTAGCATATTGTCATAAAATTAGCGAAAAAATTCAAAACACTTTTAAACAAATTAATTTGCAAACTTTTTTAAAATTTGGAGAAAATAGAAAAGGCAACTTGAATCTAAAACTATATTGAAAATTAATCAATATTTTGAGCGAAGACTTTAATACCGTCAATTTTTTAGATTTAATTTTGCAAGAAATTAAAATTATTAATGAAAAATTGAAAGGCGATTTTGATGTTAGTCTCGTAAATATAAAATTTACAATTGAAAAAGCTCTTTCTATTTTAGGCATTAAAATTCAAAATCCAATAATTACAAAAGAATGGCAAATTTTAATTACTCAATGGCAGGCTAAATTAAAATTAGGAGATTTTTCGGCAGCCGATAAAATAAGAACAAAATTACAAAAAAAGCAAATTCTTTAATAAATAAATTATTTTTCACTTAATATGTTTAATTTAAAATTATAAAAATGAAACAAATAGTATACGGCAAAAATGTAGTTAATACATTACGCAGAGAACATCCTAAATTAATTAAAAAAATTTTTCTAACAAAAGATATTTTTCACAAAAAAGAAGCTGAATTTAAATCTTTTATAGTAGAAATTTGACCCGAAAAGAAATTTAATACTTGATTTGGTTTCAAAAAACATCAAAAAATGGCTGCGGAAATTTCTCATTTTCCCCTTTTTTCTTTTGATGATTTATTAATTGATATCAAAAACAAAACTTCACCTCAAATTATTTTAATTTTAGACAGCATTCACGATCCTCAAAATGTCGGTGCCATCATTCGTTCCGCATGTGCAACCGGAGTTGATGCAATTATTATTGCCAAAACAGGACAAGCTCCAATTAACTCGACAATTGCTAAAACATCCGCCGGAACTTTATTCGCGGTCAAAATAGTTTTGGTTTCCAACTTGCATCAGACTGTTTTAAAATTAAAAAAACAAAATTTTTGAATTATTTCCACACAAATGCATGGAGAAACTTCATATGATCAATTAGCAATTCAAGATTTAAATGTCGCTTTAATTGTGGGGAATGAAGGAACCGGAGTGAGTTCGCTTTTACATCGGGCCTCGGATTTTCGAGTGTATTTACCAATGATTAACACGGAATCTCTCAATGTAAATGCCGCAACTGCTGTTTTATTGTATGAAATTCGAAAAAAGCAAAATTTCTGAAATAAATCTAAATAATTTAATATATGCAATTCAAAAAAAATACAATGTAAAAGCTTACTTTATTCTTTATTCCTATATGAATAAATGAATGAATTTTATTGTTTATAAAAATGAACAAAAATTTAAATATATTATTTTGAATCAAAATGATTGAATATATTATAAAAAAATTTCTTTTTTTAGAAGTGTAATGAGTTTTGATTTTTTGCGCGGAATTCCCTTTCCTCAATTTGCTATTCAACAACTCAATTGATTTTTACTGGGAAAAAGCCGAAAATATATTTCTTTTAAATATCGACAGATCAATTTTGCCACTTTTTTTGACGAACAAAAAACAAAGCTGCAGGCGAACAAATACAATGATTTTAGTTTGAAAGAAAAGGCTGATTTTTCTTATTACTTAAATTTTTTGACTCCTTTTGAAAAAAAAATTTTTCAATTGAAAATACAAAAATACAAAAATCGAGAAATTGCTGAAGAACTCCAAATTCATAGTAAAAAAGTTGATAATGCTTGACAAAGAGCTAAAAAAAAGTTAAAAAAGTATATAACCGACAATAAAAAAATGTCGTTATTTTAGTTTTATGAAAAAAATTAAATCTTTTTTATGTTTCGTTCGTAATTATTTTGTTTCTTATGCCTTTCAGTTTTCGCGGTTACGTTGACCCAAAATGAATAAGATGATTTCAATGTTTTTGATTTTATTACTGTTTTTTGCTATTTTAGGTGGAATTATTTTCGGATTGGAAAAAGCTCTTCGTGAATTTTTCCGATTAATTAAACTTTATGTCTAAAATGAAGAATTTTTCAACATCAAAAACCGCATGATTTTCTTTTCGTTGTCAACGTGGTAAAGAATCCGAGGTTTTAGACTATTTAAAAACAAAGGGTGATTTTTTTTTAGGAGTAAAAATTTTTCGAGATTTAAAAACTCAAAATAAAATTAAAAACAAAGCAAATCTGAAATTAAAAAATATTTGACCCGGCAATATTTTTGTGCAAGTGAAATTAGAAAAGGGTAAAGTTTCGGACAAAATAAAAGAAATTATTTTAAATAGTCCTTATTTTTCTCGATTGAATGCATATAAATTTGATTATTACGCTGATCCAATTTTATTTTCGGATAAATACATGCAAAAACTAGAAGCAGATGCCAACAATGAATTAAAATTATCAACCGGTAAATGTAGTCCTGAGGATATTGATTTCGGAGTAAATGATATGGTATCAGTTGTTTCAGGAGCTTTTCGCGGACATGAAGGCGAAGTAACGGAAATTGATTATGCCACCGGCATTGTAACTTTAAATTTTGAATTTTTCGGTCGCATTACTCCCATTAAGGTAGGATTTTTAGATTGTAAAAAAATAGGATAGTTATGAAAAAAATTACACGAATTGCTAAATTACAATTTAAAGGTGCAGAAGCCAAGCCCGGTCCGGCTTTGGCGTCTATTGGCATCAATATTATGCAATTTTGCAATGAATTTAACAAAGCAACACAAGAACAAAAAGGAGAAGTGGTTCCCGTTGTGGTTACGGCTTATTCCGATAAAAGTTTTAAATTTATTATTAAAACCACCCCCACCGCTGTATTAATCAAAAAATATGCCAAAATTGAAAAAGGAGCCGCCAATGCAAAAAAAGAAACAAAAGGCAGTCTTACAATGAGTCAAGTAGAGGAAATCGCCAAAATTAAAATGCCGGATTTAAATGCTCACAATCTCGAAGGAGCCACAAAAATCATTCTCGGAACAATGAAACAAATGGGAGTAAAATTAACGGAAGAAAAAAATGAATAAAGAATCAATCACAAAATCAAATATTTCCATGAGAGGTAAAAATTATCAAAATTGAAAAAATCAATATTGAACGAGAAATTCACTTTCTCTTAAAGAAATTTTAAATATTTTACAAAAAAATAAATTAGAGAAATTTGATAGCACGATAAATTTAACTTTTCATTTAAATTTAAATACAAAAAAACCCGAACATAATTTAAAAGGGCACTATACTTTACCGCATAATAGTTTCAAAAAAGAAGTGATTATTGCGGTTTTTTCCAAAAATAAACAAGATGAAGCCAAAGAATTCGGCGCTCAAATTGTGGGCGGAGTAGAATTAATTGAAGAAATTCAAAAAACAAAAAAAATTAATTTTGATGTAGCTTTAGCAACCCCTGAAATTGCAAAAGATTTGACTAAAATAGCCAAAATTTTAGGACCTAAAAAAATAATGCCTTCATCAAAAAACGGAACCATTAATTTAGATATAGAAAAACCTATTCAAGAATATCAAAAAGGCAAACGAAGTTATCATGCTAATGGATCCAATAGTTTGCAATTTGTGATGGGAAAAATCTCTGATTCAATCGAAAATTTAGTTGAAAATTATAACTATGTGTTTGAAAAAGTCGTTAAAATAAAACCTAATAATGTCAAAGGTAAATACATTAAAGCAATTCATATATCAGGAACCATGTCACCTAATTTTAGTTTAATTCTTTCAAATTAAAATTTCTTTTTTTGTCTTGAAAAAAATTTTTTTTATTAGTACTCCTCTTTTTTATACAAATTCTTCTCCTCATCTCGGGCATTTGTATACGACTCTTTATTGCGACTTTTTGACTCGTTATAAAAAGCAATTAGGTTATCAAACAATATTTATAACCGGAGCGGATCAGCATGGAGAAAAAATTTATCAAAAAGCTTTAGTCCATCAAGAAAATCCCGAGATTTTTGTTCAAAAACAAACTCAAAAATTTATGCAATTGTGACAAAAAGCTCAAATTAAATTTACTCATTTTTCTGCAACACACTCAAATTCACATAAAAAATTTGTTGAAGATTGTTTTGCCCAATTAAAACAGAATAAAAACATTTATCTATCTTTTTATCGTGGTAATTATTGTATTATTTGTGAAAATTTTCAAACCAGTACTTATAAAAATAAGAATATTTATAATGTTTGTCCGACTTGTTCTAATCCAATGAGTTTTATCTCAGAAGAAAATTACTTTCTAAAAGTAACGAATCAACAACAATCGCATATCAAAAAACTTATTGTCAATTGAAAAAAAAATTTAATTTCGGGAGGTTTTATAACCCAGTTGAACAAATTTTTGCAATCTTCGAATTGAGATTTTTCAATCACGAGAAAAAATTTACATTGAGGAATTACGGTTGATGAAGAAAAAAAACAAACCGCCTATGTTTGATTTGAAGCTTTATTAGGTTATATTTCTGTATTAAATCCAGAGGAAATAAATCAAGTTTGAAACAACTCCGACACGGAAATAGTTCAGGTTATCGGAAAAGAAATTATTAAATTTCATTTAATTTATTGACCATTATTATTGATGAATTTGAAATATAGACAACCCAATCAATTTCTCATTCATGGTTGAATTTTGATGAATAATGAAAAAATGTCCAAATCAAAAGGAAACATAATCAATCCTTTGAATTTATTTGAAAAATTTGATCCCGATGTAGTTCGTTTATATTTGGCAACTCTAATGCATCCTAAAAAAGACATTTTGTACCAATCAGATAGATTATTAAATTTTTATAATGTTTTTATTGTTAATAAAATTTGTAATTTACATTTTCGTACACTATCAATGATCAAAAAATTTGCTTCTTGTTTAATTGAATTAACCGAAAATGATGTAAAAACAGATTTGCTTTGGCAAAAAACCACAAAAATTTTGTGTAAAGTCGAACAAAATTATCATTGTTTTTGAAAAAAGTTTCAAATTGCTTATGCGATTAAAGAAATTTTTATTTTAGCTGATTATGCCAATGAAACCATTGATTTTACCAAACCCTGAACTATTCAAGACAAAAAAGATTTCTCCCGTGTTATTTATTGTCTTTTGACTATTATTGCTTATATTAGTCATTATCTTTCTCCCATAAGTCCAAATTTTGCGCAAAAACTTTCGAAAATTATTAATAGTCATACAAATTCAATAAAAAAATATAAAATTACATTTAACTTAAAAAATTTAATTCAAGATTTAGAGCATTTTGTCCCCATTTATACAAGAAAATAAAAATATGCATTCCAAAGTATCAGAAATTTTGTTTCCCGAAAAAGAAATTTATCTTGGCATTAAAAAAATGGCAACAAAAATAAATCAAACGTTTGCACAAAATAAAAAAGGAGTTTTATTGCTTGGCATTTTAAAAGGATGCATGCCATTTCTAAATGAATTATCCAAACATCTAAAATTTGATATACTTATTGATTATATGATTTTAAGTTCATACTCCGGAGGGACCAAAAAAAAATTGCAATTACCCAAAGTCGTTCTCGACATAGACACCGATATTCACGATAAGGATGTCATTATTGTTGATGATATTTTAGAATCAGGCTCGACGATCGAAGTAGTAAAAAATATCTTAACTCAAAGAAAAGCAAAAAGTGTGAAAATAGCGGTTTTAATATGAAAAAAAATAGATAGTTGTAAAATTCAACCGGATTGAAATGCTTTTATTTCCCCTCAAAATAAATTTTTAGTAGGGTTCGGATTAGATTTTAAAGAAAAGCTTAGAAATTTACAATATGTAGGAGTATTAAATAAAAAATTTTATGAAAAATAAACAAATTTATTACAATTTGAAAGACAAAACACTTCATTTTATACAGAAAGTTGAAACGATTGATAAAAATTGAGGAGAAGTTTTTCCCGATAAAACTTTTTTTTCACTTTATTACGATAACACACTAACAGCTTTAGCGATTGCGGAAGTTTTTTTAAAAGATCTGAATCTTTTAAAAATTTATATTCGTCCACAAGTTGCTGAATTTGATTTTTCTCAATCAAATAAATTTGACTATAAATCTTTAAAAAAAACATCTTTTAAGACAAATTCATTTTTACTGAATTTGAATTTTCAAAAATTATTTTTTGCAAATCAATTTTTAGTATTTGAAAATTGGCCTCTTATCAAAGACAAAAGCAATCTAAGGTTTCATTCCGCTAAGTTAAATAAATCCTTTTTGAAAAATACAATATTTAGTAATTATTCGTCTTTTATTGATGAAAAAGGCGAGCACATACATCGCTTGCAAATTAAATTCCCAATCGAAGAAAATTTGTTTATCACTGACCATCGTGACATTAACGAAACTTTAAAATTTTTTAAATTCATTGAAAATGTTGGATTAGGATTACCAGTTTGATTACCAAAAGGAGAGAGTGTTAAACATGAAATTAAAATTTTTTTACGTAATTTAGGAATTCAAAATAATTTTTATTTTGTGAATACGCCTATTTTAGGCAAAACTCAATTATATAAAACCAGCGGACATTTAAGTCATTATAAAGAATATATGTTTCCCGATATGACTCGAGAAAATCAATCTTGAATATTGCGCCCCATGACTTGTCCTCATCATTGCATGATTTATGCCTCGGAAATTCGTTCATATCTCGATTTACCAATTAGAATGTCAGAAAATTCTCTTCTTTTTCGTTATGAAAGTAGTGGAGGATTATCAGGACTCACGCGTACACGCCAGATGGAATTAAATGATTTACATATTTTTCTCGCCAATGATACAAAACAAATAAAAAATGAAGTGAAAAACTGTTACGAAATGACTCAGCGAGCGATGAAAGCATTGAATTTAAAGATTAAACGCATTTATTTGTCCATTCATGATGATAAAAAAACCGATAAATTTTTTGATGACATGAATTTATGAACTAAGACAACAAAAATTTTACAAAGCTCACTGGACGAACTCCAAGTAGAATACAAAGTTGTAAAAGGAGAAGCTGCTTTTTATGGACCCAAAATTGATTTTCAAATTGATAATGCTCTTAATCATGATTTAACAATTTCCACTATTCAACTGGATTTTTTATTGCCCGAAAAATTTAAATTAAAATATCGAACAAAATCACAAAAACAAAGAGAAGCCAAACCGATTTTAATTCATCATGGAGTAATAGGGACATACGAACGCTTAATTGCTATTTTATTAGAACAAAATAAAGGATGACTTCCAATTTGATTATCACCAATGCAAGTTTCCATCATTCCAATTAATCAAAATATCGAAATTCAAAAATATGCGAATAAAATTCAATTGTTATTTTCTCGTTGTGGCATTAAAAATCAAATTATGCCGTATGATCATTCGCTTGCTGCCAATGTAAAGCTTTCATGGCAAAATAAAGTACCTTTTCAAATTTTTATTGGAGAACATGAACTTAAAAATAAAACTCTCACCTACATCTTTTGACAAAAACCCAAATATAAGAAAGAAGTTACAGCACTTCAATTTGTTAGTTTGATTACGAGACTAACTAAACAATTTCAATAAAATAATGATCAAAAAATCGAATTTTCATAAATTTATTCAAAAAATTTTATTAAATAAATTTATTCCCTTTAAAAAGTTTAAAGTTATTGATGAGAATGGAAAAAATTTAGGCATTATGAATAAATCCGATGCGCTTAATCTGGCGGAATCCAAAAATTTGGATTTATTTTGCATAAAAAATGATCCACTTGATCCCTTATGTAAAATTTTAGATTACGGAAAGTATAAATATATTAAAGCCAAAAGTACCAAAAAAAGCTCAAATGGAAACAACTCCCGTAACTTAAAGGAAGTTCGTATTACAGCCAACATTGGAGAACATGATATTCAGATTAAATTGCAAAATGTACGCAAATTTTTGTCGGACAAAAAAAAAGTAAAAATTTCCATGCGCTTAAAAGGTCGGGAACTTTATATAAAAGATTATGGATTAGACAAACTTAATTTTCTCATTGATAATTTGAAAGACATTAGTAATCTATTTCAACCACCAAAACTACAAAATAAAACATATAATATAGTATTAACACCGATTAAAAAAGGAAAAAGCAGAGTCAATGAAAAAAAATAAAATGAAAAGTCGTCGTGCTTTATTAAAAAGAATTAAAATAACAAAATCGGGAAAGTGAATTCACAAACAATCCAATACTTCTCACTTATCAGCCCATAAAACAAAAAATCAAAAAAAACGTTTGGATCAAACTAAATCGGCCAAATCGGCGGATGTAAAACGATTAAAAAAATTATTAGGATAGATTCATTATGTCAAGAGTAAAAGGCGGAACTGTATCCCGCAAGAGAAGAAAAAAAGTTTTAAATCTCGCGAAAGGTTATGTCGGTTCAAAAGGAAAATTGTATCGTGTAGCTAATGAACAAGTTTTACACTCTTTGAGTTATGCTTATCGCGATCGTCGTAATCGAAAACGTGATTTTAGAAAGTTGTGAATTATGCGAATCAATGCTGCTGTTCGCGCAAACGGATTAAATTATAATGAGTTTATTAATTCTCTAAAAAAAAGTAAATTAATTTTAAATCGAAAAATTTTAGCCTCCGTTGCTTATCAATATCCCGAAACTTTTCAGTTAATCTTAAAATCTTTGAATAGAGTAAAATAGTTTTGTAATGGAAATTACTACAATTATTTTAATTCCTACTCTTATTCTTTTATTTTTGGTTTCGGCATTAGTGATATACTTTTGAGTTAAAAATAAATCCATTTCAACGGAAAATAATTCTTCAAAAGGAATCGATCAATTAACTCATACCGTCACGGGAATTAATCAAATAATTCAAAAGTTGAGCGAACAAGTTATTGAGTTGAAAACAAACACAATTAATTCTCGAACGGGAATTGAACATTTAAGAGATAATTTTCAAAAAATGAACACGGAACAAAGTTACAACAAAGAAAGTTTAAATAAAATTAAAACCGAATTAGACAAACTGAATATTGAAACCAGTAATTACAAAATTCGAGCAGAATCGCTAACTCAAAAAATTAACGAAGTTAATGAAATTTTTACCAGTAGTTATCAAAAAGGAGAAATGGGGGAAACTTCTTTGAAATACATTTTAGAACACATCATAACGAATGATCCGGATGTAATTTATGAGCAATATACATTAAAAAACGGCAAACGTCCGGATTTTTTTCTCAAGACAGATAAAATAGGCATTCCAATCGACAGTAAATTTCCTTACGATAATTTCTCTCGAATTTTAAAATTAAAAAAAACGGATGATTCATACGAAAAAGAATTAAAAAAATTACTAAGTTATTTGCGCAAACATATCGATGATGTATCCAAAAAATATCTGTCTCCCCCTGATAAGGTGGATCAAGTTGTTATTTTTATTCCGTCACAACCGTTATTTGATTTTATTCATCAGCAAAAGACTTTTGTTTCTGTACGCAAACTCGCGATGCAAAAAAAAGTTTTACTAACATCTCCCGCTAATATTCCGGCAATGATACGTTTGATCTTAGTGTTTCAAAACGACCAAAGAAGAACAAAATATATTAATGATATTCTCAAAAGACTGAAAATTTTAACTGATAATTTTGGTCGATGAGATCAGCGTTGAGACAAACTTGTTCGTCGAATTACTGCCTTATCCAATGATATTGAACTGTTTGACAAAAGTACGAAAAAAATTTCCAATGATTTTAAAAATATTAGAGATTTTAAAGAAGTTCAAAAATTAAATTCAAATAAGAACATCAAACTAAAACCAAGTAAAGACAAATAACATATAATTTAGAATTATGAATTGAAAAAATATTCTTACTAAAATTAGAAATAGTGCTTCTAAAAAATTTTCAACTTGTCAAAATTTGCATGATTTGAATGTTGTAAAGAATCAATTAATTGGCAAAAATTCCGAATTAAGAAAATGTTTTTTAACTCTTTCAAAAGAAGATAAAAAAAATTATAGTGCCGATTTAAATGAAATGAAAAAATATGTTCTTGAATTATTCCAAATTCATTTTTCAAAAATAGAAGAAAAAAATTCAATTTCCTTAAAAACAACTCAAAAACCGAGTTTTTTAAATTTATTGAAATTAAAAACTGATGATAAAGAGCAATTTTTTACTAAATTAAATCATATAAATTCTGATTTTGTTATTTCATCCGGAAGTCCTCATCCGATTAGTTTAATTGTTGAAAAAATTCATGAATTTTTTCAAAGTTTCGGTTTTACTTTTTATTTGTCTAGCGAACTCGAGAGTACCAAATATAATTTTGATTTACTTAATATTCCTAAAAATCACCCCTCTCGCCAAAAAACAGATACGTTTTTTTTGGATAAGAACACTGTTTTACGAACACATGCTACAACAATGACGGTTCATTTGTTAGAAGCTTATCAGAATTTTCAACAACCATTATTTGCTTATTCAGTTGGCAATGTTTTTCGAAAAGACACGAGCGATAGTGAGCATATGAATAAATTTATGCAGTTAGAGATGTGTGCCATTCATCCGGATGGTTTTTCGTTAACTAATTTAAAATGAATATTAAAAAAATTAATTTATTTTGTTTTAGGCAATGAT